TTTTCTTTTTTCTTTGTATTTAGTTTTACTTTTTGTATCTCTTTTATAAAATAATAAAGTTACTGGCAGTGCCACATTGTAAAAAAAAAAAGTATTATCTCTGAATATATAATAAGTATAGAATCTACAGATACTCAGTTTTATAACCTTTTTGGTATAATGATATTAGGACAATATGATGATAGAGAGGTTCAAGTTTTTATTAGATGAGAAAAGTCTGAAAGTTGGTTAGAAGTGACTTAAAAATGTTAGATATTTTAGGTTTTTTACAAGTTAAATTTTGTCTAGTTGTCAATATAAATTCAAATATACCAGTTCCAACTCAAAACTGATTCAATGCTTTTAGTATTTTAATGAAAAATTTCAGTAAACCTTTACTTCCCCAATGTCGAACTGAAAATAATAATATTGATCAATTTTGCAATGAAATTATTGAGATTTTTCAAATCAAAAAAGTTGGTTGAATAGGTGGTTTGCATAATATGATTGGCAAGAAATTTGTGAATTGTCTTACAGGTGCTCTTTGGTATATTGATCTACATTTTTCTACATTACAGACACGTTCATACCATTTGCCAGTTCTTTTTATATAACTAAAAACTTATCAGGAAAGTGGATTATACAATCAATTTTATCATACCAGTCATTATAAAAAAAATTCATTATTACAACAAATACTTTCTTAACTTTTAAGTTCTCTTGAATTATTTATTAATCAACCATAGGCATGTAATGATTTATGGAATCAAGTAATACCTTCAATATTTTCTTTAATTGGAATTCTAAGAAAATATTCAGAGTATTTAGTTACAACTACTGCTAGTATGATTGAGTTTCATCATAGTGATAAAAATACTCGTAATTCTGAAAATAGCAGTACTATGTATCAAATTGCTGCTTGTAAGAATCTTCATGAAAATTATATCCAATTGAACGATATCTTATTTAACAAACCATTGTATGACTATATTAATATTCAGCCATATCTTTCAATTAATATTATAAAAAGATATTGATACATAAAAGAATTGCAACTTATGTTTCCAATAGATGTATATAGGTTAGTATTTGCATATTATATAACCAAATTTTTTTAATAAAATTCATATATCTAATATTAAACGTTATTTTTAAATATTATCAAGACAATTATTAAGGAACCATTAATTTCATATGGAAAATTCCAGAAAATGAAATGTTTAATGATAAAGAAAATGAAATTCTGAAAGCACGTATGTTAGCTAGAATTCACAAAAAATTACTTTATTATTTTACATGACAAATGCAAAAATGTGCTAAATAAGGTAATAATAATATAATAATGCAAATAATACTCCATTATTAAAATATATTTTATTATTCTCATTAATATTCTTGTTTTTTAGTATTTCTATATTAGTAAAGTTTTACCAGCTGTATTACGAATACTTTATTTCGATCTTACTAGTGATGCTTCTATGACTTCAAATGCTATTTCTCATGATATAGAAGAGAGATTATGATTCTTGCTGATTTTGGCAGATCCTGCTATTATATTTGATTTATAAACAAATAATGGATTTAATGGAACAAATTTGATATATTTTGAGACGAATTAGAAGCATATTTCAATAAGCAGGTTTAAAATTATATTTATTTTATTGTGCTTTATTGCATACTAAATAAATGTGAAAGTTCTCTATTTATTTTATTGTGCTTTATTTCATACTAAAAAAATGCATATTTTTTTAAATAGAATTTGCTTGCAGTAGATGAGCGATATTATGGAACTGTTTTATACATACTATTGGCTTTATCTGTTCATAACCTTTGTGAAATTATAGTGGAAAGGCTAAATATTATTCACAATAATTCTCTCCTTTCACAATTTATATTCCATCAATAGAATGAATCTGCCTTCAGTTTTGTTTAATAAATGCCACTACAACACGATTAATACATCATACAAGCTGATTTAATGTAAAATTTAAAGTACAAAGCTAGTTACTTCAAAAAAATAGTGATAATGCACATTATTATGTTGCACTTTTTTGATATCTTAGAGAATTTTGTATTCAGTATAATCAATAGGCTTGTTTAATATCTGCAAATGCTAAACATAAGATTCCTATTGGAGAGGATGTTGCAGTTTCTACAGATATATGAAATCAGCATTTTATAATTACTCAAAATAATATTTTGGCTGCCACGAATCATGATTTTACAAAGTTTTCTTAACATCATCTGTTACCTTTTTTATTTCAATTCCTGATGATATTTCTGGGTCATTTTATGATGATCAAGTTTTTGTATCTTACAAAGATACAATTTTTGAATAAAGTAATGCAATCCAACATTCAACTGAATTTTTAAATATACTTAATATTTACTATGAACATTAAGTGTTATCTTGTTTTTATACTGACAGAGATTCAGACTATCATTGCAATTATAGATCAGTGCAAATTGCATTGATTTGTTTTTTTTTCCATGGGAATTTTAATTTACTTGTTGCTATTCATATAGCTCCTAATTATAGTTAGACAAACCTGCTGAGCGAATTATGAGTACTTTAAATTTGGGTCTTTAAGGTATGGCACTAAAGTGTGATCAAATGAGTTCTGAATCTGAAACTATATTTGATATAGCAAATACATTAGATGATATATAAAAAAAAAGCTCAAGAATTTAATGGGTTAGAGTCTGAATTAAAAAAAAGTAATAGGAAGAAGTTCACGTGATTGGTTGATCAATTTTAATTGAATTTATACAGTTTAAAGTACTTTTCAGAAAAGAAGGTTTCATATAATTAAAAAATTTTTTTGATATAGCTTTGTCGGAGTATTAAAACATTATTTTCAAAATTAATCTCAAATAATCTCTAATTTAAGGGGGTTGACTTAGTAGTAAAGTTATGATTAAAACAAAGAAACTTAAAGGACCGTATGTTATAAAAATTTGCAAAAAAAAACATCTGTAACATGGCAAACTGTTACTGAAATGATGATATCTCGTGAAAAGGCCAGTGAAACACTTCCTAAATATGTTAAAAAAATGATATTATATGCTTAAAATTGTTATAATGCAATTGTTATTTACAAATCTTTTAAATTTAAGCAATATGCTCTAGAATAACATCATAATGAGTTGGAAATTTCTAACAATAATATTTTATCTTTTCACAGGCTGTAGAGATCAGAACAAAGATTCTTTATAAAAGGAACATCAATCGTTACCACCAATTTGGACATTTAAAAAATTTCGTATGCTTAAGGAGTCAGAAGATAAGCGGCTGAGGTATTTTTTTGATGAATTATACTTATCAACCAATCCATTGACAAAAAACAAAGATACAATGAAAAAAGTTTTAAAACAATTAGTGTTTTTATGTTATTACCTTTGCGGCATTAGAAATAAATTTGTTAACAATGCAAAAAGAGATCTTGAAATGTATTTAGATTCCACTAGAAAATCTAATTCAACAATAGATACTTTGGCAACATTGGGCTTGACAATAACATTTTGTACAATTTCTTATCACAAGGATGCTGTGTCTGAAAAGCATTTAATGACTGTAGAATCAAGACTTTCAGAAAGTGCTAATAATGTAATAGTTTTAAATATTGACAACTATTATAACATTCATACTCTTAATCTAATAAAGAATAACCTGGCAATATTAAAGCAAGATATTCATAATCCTGTATTGGTTGATGCTTCATTGATTAAAATCGGCATTGATAATTATTTTATATCACCATTTTCATTACCTCACAATTAGCATTGGGGATTTCGTTATGTAAATGATGAAATTAAGCTCAAAGAGCTAACTGTTCATAGTTATGATTTTTGTTTAAAGAAAAAAAGAAATATAGATCAATGAAAGATGTAGTGCTTGCAAATCTCTTGCAGAATGATCTTCATTCAGTAGAAGCCTATGTTAATGCTACTAAAGTTATAGCTTCTATTCCTACAATGAATAAGTATATCAAGAAAGGTAATGTTATTCCAGTTGTAGCTGATTAGCCTGGTTAAATATTCTTGAGAATTGCTATATCATGGTATCTTATTCATAGTGATCATTCTATGATTACGAAGGAATTTTATCCTTCTTTCCAATGATGGATCCTTTACACATCTCACTAAATAGCCATGAGTTAATATTTCTCCAATACCAGCCATTCTTTTCTGTAATGAACAAATACATATTTGGTGAACGAAACTACTTGCTAAGAAGCCAAAACCATGGCATATAAACTTATTATTAGAACTTTCACATAGTGTATAGCAGGAAATTGCAGCAATAATTGAAATGAAATTTGGCTGTATATGTAAAGATACAGAATATATTGTACTTAAGAATTTACTGGATAACATAATTCCATTGGTTCTTAACATTTATGCTTTATTTTTTCGTACTGGTGATTTTAATTCTTATATTAAATCATGTTTTTAGGTTTGGACAATTTTTCTTAAATTTAATCATAGAAATTATACTAAAGCACCTTTAATATTTTTATCAGATATTTTTTATTGAAAATCAAAGGATCATTCAATTCTAAAGTTAATGAAAGCAGAATTACCTAAATTTTCTAATTCTTCTGTTGAAATTTTTCACAGCCTTTTGCGATGTAATAGAGAAAAACATTTTATAGCAAACCAAATAATAAAGGAAGCACGATATATTAATTATTTACGATTGAGTGATGATGGATTCAAAGAAAACTTTATTCATACTTCGACTTGAACAGTATATCAGTATTTTCACAGGATATTACAGTATTAATACGAAAAACTGCATGCTTTCTTTTAGATTGCTTTTCAGAAATTTATACTTGTATTAACTATAAAAAAATACAATTTTTAATTCCATTACAGGTTACTATGCAAAATTTATTAAAAAAGAGAAAAACTGATATCAAAAACAGTTTTTCTATTCCAGCAATGAAGATGATAGATACACAACTTTGTCATTTATCTTTAGGATACAGCACTTCTCGTAAATCCAGTTTATTTGATTATGATTCTTTTAATTATCTTATTACCATTACTGAAGAAACAGTTTGATATTATCATGTGATCATGCATATCATAATATATGCTTTAGCCTGGATGGGTTCAAGTGTATATATTACTTAGATTATATAAAGTCTGATATTGATAATACTGTACAATTACTTTTGAATTGTTTACACCAATTTGATTCAAATAATGAAGTTGAGACTAAAAAATCTGATCTTACTTCTGATGATGATTATGATGATAAAGAATCTGTTGATGATATTTCAGCTTCTTAGGACATTGCAATATGATAATTTCTTCATTAATAATAAAAATTATTATATAAATATAGTAACCCGATGGTTTTATTTTATTAAATAAAAATGTATATAATCGATATGATATATAAACCTAAAAATACAATTCTGACAAATTTTAAAATAATAAATATAATATATAAAAAATAAGAAATATGCTTAAAATCAACATTTAATTTTGATTAGTCAAATTAATACTTAAATTTAATTGGTTATTCATTGTTATTTATTGTTTGTTTTGAGTCATTAAAATTGACCAATCACATGAACTTCTTCCTATATTCAGTTATGTCAGTTATGTCAGATATATCAAGTATATAAGTTATATAACATTTGTTTAACATTTATAACGTTACATGTAATTTATTTGCAGATTATTCAGTAAATCAATTCTATAAATCATTTTTGTAAATCTTCTAGTAGATCAATTTTGTGAAATATGTTGATCATTTAATCACTCTGAAACAATATAATCAATAGTAAACATTGTATAATATGTAGTTATAGGTTACAAGTAGCTGATATTACATTATTTTCTTCTATCATAATGTCTAGTTCATATTAGAGTTTAAGACTGGATTTAATTTCTGAATTATTTGATGATATAGTGATTTTAACTAGTCTAATAGACCATAGAAATTAGGATTTGCTTGGCACTTTAATTCAGAAGTATTAGTTGAATAACTAATGCAAGCTATGTATATATTGTGTATCAGGTA